GCATGAGAAGTTGAAAGACTTAGAGAGGCTAAATGAGCTGTTAGCAGAAGGACGAGTATTCCAGGATATGCCAGCTCTTGCAGATCGGGATAGCATCCTAATTAAGGATACTTCCCATGAAAACTCATTGATCTGCCAGCCACAACAACGGAATATTCATGGTAGAATATTTGGAGGCTTCTTGATGCGCAAGGCTTTTGAGCTGGCCTTCTCCAATGCTTACACCTTCGCTGGGGTATCACCACGTTTTCTTGAAGTTGACCGCGTCGATTTTATCAAACCAGTGAGTCCATTTCTTTCTCATCTTTTCATTTAGTTAAAGTGTGCTGGGATAAAAAAACAGTGATATAATTGGTAGCCACAGAAGAAACAGATTAAGGGAGCGTTTTTCTGATGATGGCAGGTGGATGTTGGAAACTTCCTTCGTTTTAAATCGCGCATACTGTACACAGAAGCTAACAGTTCAGCTGAACCGCTGATAAATATCGAGGTTGTAGCTCATGTTACAAGTCCAGAGCTCAGGTCCAGCGAAGTAAGTGTACACACACACAGATAACTTTAGATATTATTTCGAGCTATGCACATTACATGTTTATAGGTTGTAAAAGGTTTAATGGTGATCTGTATCCGGTGGTAGGTGTCCAACAGGTTCTACTTCACCTTCAGTGTGAGACCCGAGGCCATGAAAGATGGATTGAAGATAAGGAATGTGGTTCCCTCGACAGAAGAAGAAGCTACAAGGGTGATCGAGCGCATGGATGCAGAGAGACCAATCTCATTGCCTTGATTGCAGAAGAGATTTATGTGATGTATTTTTTCCTTCTTCTTTCAACTTGCCCTTTTATATAAAGTCTTGAGTTGTTGCGAGAAATTAACGTTGGTCGCTGACGATATAAGAGAGATGTCTATGTATAGCTTCTGAGATTTAAGGATTCTTCTAACTAATAAAAGGATTAATTGAGAAGATATATAGAATCAAATTCAATTGTGTTTAGGATGAACCTAGCACAATCCCTTCTTTTTGGCCTTTGTCTTTGGGTAGAAATTGCTGATATAATAAAGAGAAACATGTAATATCTTGCCAACCAAATGATTGATGTTTCGACCCACAATCATGTGCATACATCCTCTCCTAACTAACCTACACTTTTAAGGCAATTTTCTATTGAAAGGGAAGAGAAATCATACCATTAGAAAGATACTCTAATTTGTTTTATCATGTAACAATGAATTTAACCTGCAACACTTGAAAATATGGCGGAGGCTGACCGTTTCTATTAGACTCTTTTATCTTTAACACACAGAAATCACACGATGAACGACTCTAGAAACTAAAAATCGTAGTACTAATGGAAGTTTGGAATAATTTGTATTATCTATGAATCAAATCATAGTCAAACACGCTTAATTGTGGATCAACTGGATCAATCACTGGACCAATATGGTTTTTACCGAATCCTATTTGGTTACCAATACGGTCAACAAAAAATTCCACATTTCACTAGAATAAAAAAAAAAAAACAATAGAGCCCAATAAGTTCATGTAGTGTGTGGTTAACAATCAAATTTTGCTGAAATGTTTTTTTTTCCCTTACGAGTTTAGACCTTGAAATCGATGGAAAGCAATCGAATCGGAATCCTTCCATTTCACAATCGAAACTAACTTTGTTCACTTCTCGACAAGATTGGTCCTCTCTTGTTTACCGTCGGGAAACACAAACATGGAGCGACGAGAAGATGAGCAACAAAAGCGTGACGATTCCAGATTCAATCAGACTCTCAAGAACGTCCAAGGGTAATTCAATCTCCTCTCTGATCTTGCATTTCTTTTCTTTCTGCTTTCATTGTTGTTAGATCTGTAACTTTTTGTTATGCTACTGTGAATCACGAAATTCAACAGGAATGTATTGATTTTGATTGTTGTAGGTTTCTTAAAGGAAGGAGTATTCCTGGTAAGGTTTTGTTAACTAGGAGACCWGATCCTCCTCAAGACCCCATCTCTCCGACATATCACCGGAGCTTGTCTGAGAATGACGCCGGAAGAAACGAGCGTTTGGTGAATCCCATTGAGGTATAGCTGTGGAAATGACTTGAGATTTTCTCTTTCTTCTTCTTCCTGTATGAAGTGAATTGAGAGGTTATGCAGGTGGAAGATCACAATTCAAGTAAGAAACATGATAATACATATGCTGGTAAGCTACGATCAAATTCTAGCGGTGAAAGGTTTGTGAAAGAAGTCCAAAACTTGAAGATTGGTGTTAGATCAAGTGACTCTGCAAGAGTTATGAAGTTCAACAAAGTGCTTTCAGAAACCACTGTCATTTTAGGTACTCTTCTTTACCTTTGATGTAGTGTGTTCTGTTCACTATTCTTGGTGACCCGGAATCTGTTTTGATAGCGAATCCTATTCTAGACATGGCCTTTTGTACTTTGTATTTCTTCTGTTAACTGGTTAGATATGATATGCCTTTTGTAATTTGTTCTTCTTACCTGCAGAGAAACTGCGCGAACTAGCGTGGAATGGTGTGCCACACTATATGCGGCCCGATGTCTGGCGGCTTCTCTTGGTATTCTTTATTACCTCATATGTATTTAAGCATATTCAATCTGATCAGTTTTACTTGTAATCCGTTCCTTTTTTATGTTTTCAACGATTTCAGTGACGATGCTGAATTGCTGATCATTGTAGTATCTTCTGTAAAGATATGTTTAGCTTATTTAAACTCAGGATGAGGGCACACTTGCATTAGTCAGATAATTTGTTATTAGCTCTTCTTATCAGCATTCTCTGCAGCAACAATTTTGGCTTTTTGGTTTGTTTTTTCTATTTGAATTTAAATATAAACTGACAACAGGGATATGCACCACCTAATTCAGATAGAAGGGAGGCTGTTCTGAGAAGAAAACGTCTTGAATATCTTGAATCTGTTGGCCAATTTTATGACCTTCCAGAATCCGAACGTTCTAATGATGAGATCAATATGCTTCGCCAGGTTTTTCCTTGTAGTCTCAATGCTTCTCTAACAGGATCTTCAAAAGTTTATAAAGTCTCTTAGAAACTGTATCCTTTCTCAGATTGCTGTTGACTGTCCAAGGACTGTACCAGATGTCAGTTTCTTTCAGCAAGCACAGGTGCAGAAATCATTGGAGCGTATTCTTTACACGTGGTGAGTAATATAGTTCAGGCTGTGATTATAGTTGTTGTTCAGTCAACTTAACAATCAGTTGGAAAATTAAGTGGATAGCTAAATCTGATCATTTAATTTGCGGAGCTTGCAGGGCCATTAGGCATCCAGCAAGTGGATATGTTCAGGGAATAAATGACCTGGTCACTCCCTTTCTAGTTATTTTCTTGTCAGAATATCTAGATGGCGGTGTAGACAGTTGGTCAATGTCCGATCTATCTGCTGAAAAGGTATCGGATGTAGAAGCTGATTGCTACTGGTGCTTAACAAAGCTACTTGATGGTATGCAAGATCATTACACCTTTGCTCAACCTGGAATCCAGAGACTTGTGTTTAAGCTGAAGGAGTTGGTCAGGCGTATTGATGGTAGGTTCCTGCTTTGTAATTGGATGTGTCTTTGGTGATTGTTTGAGCAGAACAACTTTTGACATGCATATGACCATGTTCTTTACCATGAAGTTGTTGTGTTGAGTTTGGCTTGGCATAATCCTGCATTTGCTTATTCGCAATCTTTTGATGAATTAATGTCATAGAGTGATTATATCTTAGGATGCTAACTAGGTTGTCATGACACTTGTCGTTATTGTACTGCATTTCCTAGTGCATTCTTAATTAACAAGATATCCTACAATTTAGGCTTGATTGTTGTTTTAGGATGTAGAGTTAACATTGTCTCATTTCGTCGTTATGTACTAGAACCTGTTTCAAGACACATGGAGGAACAAGGACTGGAGTTTCTTCAGTTTGCATTCCGGTGGTATAACTGTCTTCTGATACGTGAGGTTAGACACCGTTTCAACTCCTACTGATATATGCCGCCCATTTCTCAGACCAGATTTAGTCTTTTTTCAGTTTTTTTCTTCTTCTGGAAACTGACATAACCTTTGTGTTTTACAGATCCCTTTCAGTCTCATCAATCGCCTATGGGACACTTACCTTGCTGAAGGAGATGCATTGCCAGATTTCCTGGTCTATATATATGCTAGCTTTCTCTTGACGGTAAGAAATACTCAAAGTAGAGAGTAACACACTGATTGATACTGGTGAGATTTTTTACCATGAGAAGAGTTTAATATAGAAATCGTGCTGCGAACAATGCAGTGGTCAGACGAGCTGAAGAAACTGGACTTTCAAGAGATGGTAATGTTCCTGCAACATCTTCCGACGCATAACTGGACAGACCAAGAGCTCGAAATGGTTTTGTCAAGAGCTTACATGTGGCACAGTATGTTCAACAATTCCCCAAACCATTTGGCTAGCTGAATGACCTTTTCCTCGATGACGACGATGATGATGCTGTTTTTTTTTGGGTTATATTATATTCATCTTCTTCTTGTCACTTTGGTTTCTCTCTTTTCTTTTTTTTTTGTGTAATGGTAAATGCTAACATTCTTCTTGTCTTGTTAATTGTTATTAGTTTTATGTATGGTTACACGCGACAATTGTTGATGTGTTTGTAACGTTGTGTCAATATTTTTAATTCGGATGTCATGTAGTTTCCTTCCTTTGAGATGGATAAAACTCTCATTGGATCCCATATCAATCCGGCCCACCCGACCCGACTTTTTTCTCGGGCAAAGATTTAATGACCATACTAGTACTAGAGATAAGTAATTAACAATAGCAGATTAAATATTATGATTAATTAACCCCAAAATTCAACACACGGAATGTGGACAAGAGAAAGGTTTTCAACAAATCTACTAAAAAAAAAAGATGACATGTCTCGTGTCTTAGATTCCTAAGCATAATAATACATTTTAAAGTCAACATCAATCAAATTTTGGTCGATTATTTGCATCTTACATTATCAACTCAATGGGATAATTGTCCATG